GAAATGAATCAAACATATGCACAAAACATATTTTAAAAATGATCAAATTATAAAGAGAGATTTTACACTTAAGTTTTTAGTTGTTTTTTATCACGACTTTACTCAGGCCGTCATTGGTTGATAATTCCTCTTCTTTTATGTGCCATGTCTCTTCAGAACATAGAGGATCATGGCCTTCCACATCTTCTTGTCTCTTATAGCTCTTAATAAGTTTTGTGTTTTTGTTGTTTCTCCCAAACCCTATTCTGCCATCCATTTATTCAAGCTCATCAAGTATGTTATGTACTGATTTCCTCTGTCCCTCTTTCCTTCTATCCATCCTGTGAGTATCAGATTTTCCAAACCCACCTTCCCCATTACATATCCCAGAAATTTCAACTGCTTCTTCCTGATGTTAAGTATGTTTCCTTTTTGTTTCTGTTCCCTCCAAAATTTTGTTGTTGCTCGCATGTTCGACCTGTGTTATCCTTAGCATCCTTCTGTTGAAGGATATTTCTGTTTTTAGTCTCTTCTTCATCTTTGAGGAGATTTTCCAGCATTTGCTGCCACACAACGGGACAGTTCAATACTCTTTTCTTTGTTTCCAATAAAATTTTTCTGTCTCTTATTACTCTGCTTAGCTTTTGGAATGCATCTTTGGCTATCCCAATACGTCTTTAGATTTCAGTGTTGCACTTTCCATCTTCTGTTAAACACTTCCTAGATATTTAAATTTCTGTACCTGCTTGATTTTAGTCTCCCTGACCTGCAATTTGCATTTTGGGCTCATTCTTTTGCTGATGACCATGCATTCTGTCTTCTGATTTAATAAAAAGAGAAATTGTATTTGTAGTATTTTTTTCTTTTCTGCTTAGTCAAATTGTGATGTTTTTTTTTTTTTTTGTAAGTCACAGAGGTGAAAATCTATCTTCTCCTCTAGTTTCATGCACCTTGTGTTGGGTAATGGTTAAGGAGCCTCATTGACAATTACTACCGAGTAGTAAATTTGATCATCACTGGCATCCCATACATAACTTATTAAGTAACCCAATAAGGTCTAACAATCAGTGTGGGGTGATGGTTGGTAAGGCTAGACCATTATGACTGACTAGTGAGTTTGATCCTCACTAGGTGCCCCATACAAAATTCTTGAGTTAGTAATGTGACCTCTGCTATAAAAGGTGAGAGAAAATGGGAGTCTGGAGCAGACATGATGTCATTCTGGTGAATTGGCAACAAATAGAAAGGGGACTTACATTTCATGCCTCTAGCCAGATTGTCATGTAACATATTTTTCAAAATGTTTGACATGTGCATAAATTATAGCTGAATCTAGGGTAAATAATTAAGCCCCACCCAATCTTTCAAGACTACAACACAGTCAGTAGATAAATAAGCTTAGTTTGACACAAGGTTAAAAATATGGGGCACCCAGTAAAGATCGAACTCCCTACTCATTAATTATGATCAACCAGGCTACATCACTAACCCTAACCGCACACTGAGGCGCCTAGATAAACAAGGTGTACTGACCAACTGCTATTGTCCCTACAGCCTGAAAATTTATCAATATGGAAACAGATGTGATCGTAAGAAAACAAAGTAGCAGCCCCTACGTCTACAGGAAAACAAATGTTTTGAGTGGGAGAATCATTTGTTTTGTGGTAAGAGATGAGACTTCAAAGTAATGAAAATGCTTCTTATTTTTTCTTGGAAAATCAAAGTTGGGGGAATATATCTTCAAAAACAAAATGCTAATAAAGACATAACACCAAATGGAGATTGAATATTGACGTGACAATGTTCTTAAATAAGGTTGGTCTGCTTGCGTAGAACCTCATCATTTTATATCTTGGCTTCACATTGAAGCTTGAACACTTGCCTCTAGCACTGGTGAGAAAAAATGGCTAAAGAGAATATCTATATAAATAAAGTGCAGTGTACATTTGTCTGTCTGTCTGTCTGTCTATCTCAGTGAATCATAAACAACCTGAAGTAAAAGGTAGAAACTACTGTAGTCACACACAATTGAAAAATAAATTTAAAATAAATAATTGATTTAAAGTTAAAGTTAAAATAAATAATTGATTTAAAGTTAAATTTAAATATCAAACGGAGTGAAAAGTTTAAAGAAACAATTCTTTATTAAATGTTTAACTTTAATTTTGCTTTTTATTGCAATTGATATTGTCTATTTAAACTGTAATTAAAACTGAAGTGGTGGGGTAGGGTGCATTGCTGATGTTTTTTTGTTTTTCCCTTACGTGTGGTGTATTGAAAATATTATATAGTTTGGGTTCCCTAGTGTCTCTTAAGAGTGACTTTATGCGAAGGAATCATAAAGAATGATGATTTTGAAAGAAAATAAAAATTCCACACACAATAAATGAAAACAAACTACAGAGATCGGTTGTGTATATGAAGAAGGATTATGCCGAATTAAGGTGTCGACAATAAAATAATTTTATTATTTGTAAATTCTTATATCTTTTATATACATAGGATGCTGTAGGTAAAAGCTGAAGGTCCAAAAGCCCTCTGCAGGAATTAGCCTAAAGTCTGCCCAAAGGACAACTTTTAGGCTACTTATTGATAAAATTGGAGATTTAAAAAAAAAAAAAATTATCATTATTTTTTTTTTTTTTTTTTTTCACTGATATTATAAGTGCCTTAAAAAAATGACGTCATTTTAATATTGGATCGTACTTCTAAAATATTTAAAAAAATATATTGAGTTGAAATTTGAATTCTCTTATGTTCAACACCTACTGAATAATTTATTTTGCTAACTGAGCTTCTGTCTTGTTTCCATCCTTTATGATTGTTTAAGAACTTTTCAGAGTACCACTGCATGTAGCGATTTCCGCATTGATACAACTCGGCAAAATTGTGTTGTCAATATAGATTGTTTCTTTGGTTCCCAAATGTCTCGTCTTCATACATTAGAATGTTCAGAAAGTGAATACTTATTTTGCCATTATGAATTCTGCGTCAACTAAACATGGTTGAATGATATGAAACTTAGTCTAGAATTAGCTTTTCATCTCTTTGATCAGGTAGTGTATTGTTTATAATGAATTTCAGTGTAACCTGTGTAAGATTATAACTTTAAAAAATCAACATTATACCCATTACTTACTATATGAATTCTAAAAGGGTATTGGCGATACAGAGGGGGGTGCTAGCACCTGTTGGGGTCCCGGCTATGGGAAAATAGTGAACCCCCAAACAAAAAAAAATTAATGAAAGTATAAAAATACATTTTCATAGTAAAAATACCAGCAATACATTTTTATATAAAAAAATGACCAACAATACATTTTATAGTAGAAATACCAACAATACATTTTATCTGTAGGTGAAGCCATGCAATTGAGTTCAAGATATATTTAGCTGAAGCCATAAAATTGTGTACAAAATATTTAGATTTTGGCATTAAATAACCCATAGAGATGTTGATATGTCAAAAAATCAATCAACCAACCAACAACCAATGCAGAGGCATTTAAAAAACAATTTGTGCAATGTATATGATGCCTGGACAGGTGTATGGTTGCTTAAAAGGTGTAAAATAGGGAAATGATATCTCTAACACACCTTTTTGTTCTGAATGATGGCCTTTTCTGAAAGAAGGATTTTTAAATTGAATCAACGTCCACTCATGGGAGATTTGGCACAAAAACATAATGTCATTTTCAGCTGTCTGAAAACCTCTCAAGTAAATTCAGAGAAGCTTCTAAAGAGGGAATTTAGGTTCATTATGAGTTTTTGATTGAGGACCAAACACAATGCTTCACCATAAACCCATTGGAAGGCATATTTTTGATACTATGTTCAGGAGTCAAGGATGCCAACTTATTGCAGGTGATGGAAAAATGGGTTTTGGATGTCAACAGAAAACAAAAGGACTGTAGTTACCACAAAGTGAGGGACCAATGACAACGCCAAAATCAGGACACTATCTACATCTTGCTTTGTGACTGTTGGAATATCAAAGGTGTTGTTAATTATGATCAAGTGGGCCATGGAAGGACCAATGTTGCACATGTTTATTGCTAGTAACTGGATAGGATAAATGAAGCTTTATGCCAAAAATCCTGTTTTTCTTTTTTTTAAAAAAAAAAAAAAGAAAAGCTGTTATTCTTAAGCTTGACAATTTAAAGGTAGACTTTGCAAAACAAATCCAAAAAAAAATAAGATTGGTGGGATGGGAAGTTCTTCAACATCTTCCATAGTCACCTGATTTAACATCTGCAGATTTTCATTTGTTTTGATCACTAGAACATTAGCAGAACGTTCTGAGACAAAGAAGTTGAAAATAGGTGTTTCAAACACTTTTTAAGAAGGAAAACCCAGATTTCTTTAAACATGGAATTGGAAATTTGTCTTCCCATTGGGCTGCAGTCATTGAAAACAAAGTTCAATGTATTTTTGATATATATAAAATTTAACAAAATTCAACTTAACATTTGTTTTCATATCCTTTCTGCTAAAACATTATTTCTTTCCAAACACTTTAATAATATTTCAATAAATTGAATTTATATTCCTTCTGGTATTTTTGTATTTAAATATAATTTTGTATTTAAATATTTTGTATTTATTAATCTGATAGATTTATTGCTTTGAACGTTATTTTTAGTGGCTAGCCTGCTGGAGAGTGCATATTTTTCTTTAATAAGATTCCTTGAATATTCAGACCAATAGAAGAAAAATATATTGTTTAATAAATAAATGCAGCATCTACTCAAACAGGGATATCCATTAAAATAAAATTTAAAGTGATAAAATTTGTTGGATTAATAAATTAAAAAAATCCATTAATTCTTTAGAAATTGCTTTGTTTACATTTGGATATGAAACTGATCAGACATGAACTTTCAAGAATCTGAGAAGGATTTGCAGGAAAGTGAATGGAGCTGAGCCACCAGATCAGGATCAATAATGTTGCAGATTCTTCTTTGGATTTTATCAAGGAGCTCAAGGTAAATAACAGGGGCACCGTATATTGCCGCATCCTGTTGTAACACCTATTCCCGTATGATCACTGAAGTTAAGCAGTGTTGAGCCTAATCAGATGGGTGACCACTTGGGAATACCAGGTGTCATAAGCTTGAATGTGCAGGTGGTGTAATAGATAATGGCTCAAAATTGTTAATTGGAGAACTGAGTTCCAATTCCGGTTGGGTTCATTATATTCACTTATGTGCAAATACCCTTGGGAAAGGTAAGAATCCACCTGTTCTCCCTGCAACTATAGGTGAATTAGTAAAACTTGTATCACTTAATCATTATCTTCCCACCACCAAAAAAAATTTCTTAAAATCTAAAAATATTCCCTGGCTTTAAATAACCTGCAGAAGTTTGCTAATCTTCAGACAACAAAATCAATCAATGAAATACTAATTAACTACACAGGCATGTCTTTTAGATTTATTTACATTCTCTGGAATAGAAATGAAATATAAATTACCATGGCTACAAAGTGAGGGATCAGTTTGATTGTAAGATAGAATTGATCCCCCACTTTCTATTCACATTATAACTTCTTGTTTGTTTATCAAATTCTGATTAGGTGTGAATCCAACTCTTTTCACCCAGCTATGGTTTAATTTAGAAATTACCGTGGCTACAAAGTGAGGGATCAGTTTATATATTGATTGTAATATAGAATTGAACCCCCCACTTTATATCTATTTCGTTTGTTTATCAAATTCTGATTAGGAATGAATCCAGCTCTTTTCAGCCAGCTATAGGTTAATTAAAGACTTGTATCACTAAATCATTAGTATCGCCCCCCCCCCCAAAAAAAAAAAATCTAAAAATATTTCCTGGCTTTTAAATAACCTTCAAAAGGTTGATAAGTCATAGAAAATGAATGAATGAATGAATCAATCAATTGCTGTATGCAATTAATGTCTGATTTTTCTGGAAAATGATTTGAGTGGTATAATAATGAAGATACCAATTACTCTTCCAACCAGGCTTGCGTAAAAGAGTTTCAAATCAGTTAAATGGTGCTTTTAAGGCTATGCAGAAGAACCTGGTTAAACACTGTAGAGTTCAATGTTGTATATTTGGGTGTCGGCCTTCTCCTCCAATTTCAAAGACCCCATTTGAACAAAGAGGATGTGATACCCCTCCCCCTTAAATATTGTTGAGAACTCACTTAAGCGGTTGGAGGCCTGGTTGTTCAATGGACTCTGCTACAGTAGCTAACCTGACTCACTCCAGGGTGTAGAAAAAAAAAAGGTTAGTTGGTGGGTGGAGAGGTTGATATTGGCTATAATTACAACATTGCTTTCTTACTCTTTCTTTTTTACTCTCTCAACAATGTAGAGAGAGAGAGAGGCTTAGATATTCTTTTTTAAATATATACCTGCCCTCCCGAATCACAACATGTTGACTGTCATTTGATATCTGTGTGTTAACAATGATTAAATGGATAGGACGTCTGGGTAGGGAGAAAGTAGCCACTAGTTTGGTTCGTAGGAGGAGAACTGCAGCAGGCGAAGTGAGAAGAGGGTGCGGTAGGCAACACAGTGCAAACACCATAAGGCTATCATTGTTGGCGTCCTTTGTCCGGAGAGCCGGGATCTCCCTGCTGAAAGAACAAGTTACTGAACAATGCAATTTAAATGAATATCATCATGTATAAAAGAATTGGTTGTTGTTGGGGGGGGGGTGCAGCATTTCTTCGAAGTGTATTTGTACATAATTAAAAAAGAATCAGCAAAAACTTCAACATCTCAGGTGAATATGAATATTAGCCGGCATTATTATTTGACCAGCAGCTTAAAGAAAACTGCAAACCTTTGATTGATTTTAATGTTTTGATTATTTTGCTTGGTACAACCATTACATAACACACTCTCTCTTGTTCCTATCTATGTGTAACTCTCTCTCTCTTGTTCCTATCTATGTGTAACTCTCTCTCTCTTGTTCCTATCTATGTGTAACTCTCTCTCTCTCTCTTGTTCCTATCTATGTGTAACTCTCTCTCTTGTTCCTATCTATGTGTAACTCTCTCTCTTGTTCCTATCTATGTGTAACTCTCTCTCTTGTTCCTATCTATGTGTAACTCTCTCTCTCTCTCTTGTTTCTATCTATGTGTAACTCTCTCTCTCTTGTTCCTATCTATGTGTATCTCTCTCTCTCTCTCTCTTGTTCCTATCTATGTGTATCTCTCTCTCTCTTTTTCCTATCTATGTGTAACTCTCTCTCTCTTGTTCCTATCTATGTGTAACTCTCTCTCTTTGTTCCTATCTATGTGTATCTCTCTCTCTCTCTCGTTCCTATCTATGTGTATCTCTCTCTCTCTCTCTCTCTTGTTCCTATCTATGTGTAACTCTCTCTCTCTCTTGTTCCTATCTATGTGTAACTCTCTCTCTCTCTTGTTCCTATCTATGTGTAACTCTCTCTCTCTCTCTCGTTCATATCTATGTGTAACTCTCTCTCTCTCTTGTTCCTATCTATGTGTAACTCTCTCTCTCTCTCTTTTCCTATCTATGTGTATCTCTCTCTCTCTGTTCCTATCTATGTGTAACTCTCTCTCTCTCTCCTTCTATCTATGTGTAACTCTCTCTCTCTCGTTCCTATCTATGTGTAACTCTCTCTCTCTTGTTCCTATCTATGTGTAACTCTCTCTCTCTCTTGTTCATATGTATGTATCTATCCTTGGGCACTTCGATGTGGTGTAAAGGTTAGCAAGCTTGCCTCACAAAATCAATTACAACTGAATAATGAGCTTGCACCTCACTGGGTGCCCCAGACTTTCAGCCTTGTGCTACATCTAAGCTATGCTTAGAAAATCACTATATCTATCACTTTGTATCTATCTATATATCTATGTGAGTGTCTATGTAATAACACACACACACACACACACAATGAAATAAAATATATATTTTATTATATTTATAATAAGAATACAAATCAATAACATTAATTATCTTTCATTTAACATCAAAAATTTATCCATTATAGTTTTTTTGTGCTTTTCCCTAACATTGAGATATTTTTCAGGTATTTAAGAACATTCAGTGACTCAAAATTGAACCTGTAGCATTGTTTTTTTCTGTGTGTATCTTTTTTTTGCTGCATATCTTCAGGACATTGGAGTTCATGGCACTCTACTACTTCCTATTCTTTGTTACTCTTAGCAGTTTTTCTCACTTTGCTAAGGCTCCCACCCCACATTCCACCATCTATTCACTACCTCCCCCCCTGTCTCTCTTGCTGTCAGTCTGCCCTGTGAGGGTTAAGTTTTCCAAACCCTCCTTCTTCATTATGTCTCAAAAGAAATTCAGCCGTCTTTTCTTGATTTTGAGTAGAAGTTTTCTTTCTGTTGCCATTTTCTTTAAGACTTCATTGTTGCTTACTTGGTCTGTCAATGGAATTCTCAATATCCTTCTGTAGAACCACATTTTTGCTGTCTCTAGTTTTCTCTTTATCCATGGGGAGATCGTCCAGCATTTACTGCCATATTATGGGATGGATAACATAGCAATCTGGCCCCCTTTTTTTTGTTTCTAACAAAGTATTTCTGTTTCTCAACACCATACTTAACTTTTGTAATGCCTCTTTCTCTAGTCCAATACGTGTTCAGATCTCTGTATCATATTTTCCATTCTCTTACCAGATATTTAAATTCTGCATCTGATGTTTATATTTCCAGTTCATAACTTGCATCTTGAGATTTTTCTCTTCCTGATAACAATACTTTGTGTCTTCTTGATAGTTAGTCCTTTTTTCTTGCTTTCTTCTGCTTCTCTGTCTAAGATATCCTGTTGTTTATTTTTTTATTTTATTTTTTTTCAAGTCAGGCCTCAAGATATGTAGATGACACTGTGTTAAGATTATGCCAACTGCTAATAAATCCTGATAGGATCTCCAGTTCCCTTAGGATAGCATTGCTGTAGAACTTGAATAAATCTGGGGAGAAGATATATCCTTGTCTCATGCCCCTTTCTACTCCAACATCCCTGTGTGTGTGTGTGTGTATATACAAGTTTCTAAATAAAATTTCTGCATTTGTCCTGATAAAGTTTAAGGAACTAAACATATTGGCATAAAAGGAGGTTTTTTTTTTCTTGTCATTTATATAAGTTTGCATTGTTATATAATGAAATGGATTAAGTTAGACAATATATTTTCTGTTTATACATTATTTTTATAGATATAATTTAAGTAAATGCTCTGTTTTTTACTTAAACAGTATTAATAGTATTAATTACATTTGTGAGGCTGAATGTTTGAGAAATTCTGTAGGAAATATGTACTCTCTGACAGGAATTGAACCTGTAACCCTTATGGGAACTGCCATATAGCCTGACGTGCTGTTACCATTCAGTCACAAAGAAGCATCTGGTTAGCAAAGTCTGAATTCTATAGCTTCTCTCTCTCTCTCTCATGTATATATATCAGTCTATATGACAGTTCCCATAAGGGTCACAGGTTTGATTCCTGTCAGAGAGCAACCATTCAGGCTCACAAATGTAATTAATACTATTTAATTAAAAAACAGAGCATTTACTTAAATAAATTATATCTATAAAAATAATGTATAAACAGAAAATATATTGTCAAACTTAATCCATTTCATTTCATTTTATATATATATATATATATATATACTGATATATATATACATGAGAGAGAGAGAGAGAGAAGCTATAGAATTCAGACTTTGCTAACCAGATGCTGCTCTGTGACTGAATGGTAACAGCACGTCAGGCTATATGGCAGTTCCCATAAGGGTTACAGGTTCAATTCCTGTCAGAGAGTACATATTTCCTACAGAATTTCTCAAACATTCAGCCTCACAAATGTAATTAATACTATTAATACTGTTTAAGTTTTACTTAAATTATATCTTTAAAAATAATGTATAAACAGAAAATATATTGTCTAACTTAATCCATTTCATTTCATTTTATATATATATATATATATATATATTTTTGAAAATTATATATATATATATATATATATATATATATATATATATATATATATTTTTGAAATTTTATATATATATATATATATATTTTTGAAATTATAACATAATATAATATAAAATCACTACAAAATAACCATTTTTGTTTCAAC